GGGCCTGGGCGCTGTCCCTCAGCTCTTCAGCTCAAGGCGAGCGCTCTACCACTTGAGCTACAGCACCACTTCCGGTTTTCTGGTGGTTTATTGGAAATAGGAGTCTCACGGTCTCTCCTGCGCGGGCTGGCTTTGAACCTCGATCCTCAGATCTCATCCTCCTGAGTAGCTAGGATTACAGGCATGAGTCACCAGCGCCCCGCTCCATGAGACTCTTATGTCCAATAAACTATTAGAAAACCAGAGGTAGTGCTGTGGCTCAAGTGGTAGAGCGCTGGTCTTGAGCTGAAGAGCTGAGGGACAGCGCCCAGGCCCTGAGTTCAAGTCCCATGACCAACAGAAAATAATAATCATAATCATAAAGTAGGAAGGAAAGATCCAGGGGGCACCTGTCCCTCGGAATCTAGCCATACCCTGATGTTCAGCCGCTTCGGGGCCCACCAAGGCCCCTGAGTCAGGGCGCGGGAGTTGAAGGTGGTGCTGGGGTCCCGCAGGAAAGCAGGCTTCAGCACATACCCGCAGGCCCCGTTGTCCTGGAAACGGCCCTGGTAGACATCCATCTCTGGCCCAGGCGTCTGGAAGTTCAGGGCCACTGGAAGCAAGACAGGAGAGTCACAGGCTGAGGGTAGGCTGGGCTGGACCCTGGGTCTCAGGGTATACTGAGGCAGGATTCTGTGTGATTGTATCTGCCACCCTCCCGACCCACCACACTAACCATGCACTCCATTTCTTTCTGCTGATTACATAGGGCTTCAGACTGAGGGCCTGGGTGCTGTCTTGGAATTTGTTTCATTTTGCTTCGTTTTACTCGAGGCTGGCACTCAACTATTTGAGCCACACCTCCACTTCCAGCTTTTGGCTGGTTCGCCGGAGATAAGAAATGTCACAGAAGCCGGGTGCCAGTGGTGGCTCACGCCTGTCAACCCAGCTCCTCAGGAGGCTGAGAGCTGAGGATCGCCGTTTGAAGCCAGCCCCAGGCAGGAACGTCCGTGAGACTCTCCTCTCCAATGAACCACTCAGAAAAAAAGCCAGAAGTGGCGCTGTGGCTCAAATGGTAGAGCACCAGCTTGAGTTTAAAAAAAAAATAATAAAGCTCAGGAACAGCGCCCAGGCCCTAAGTCCAATCCCCAGGACCAGCAAAGAAAAAAACCCACAAAACATGGATTCGTCTGCCTGGGCTGGCTTCGACCCACCAACTCCTCCTGAGCAGCTGAGACGATGGGTATTTGCTACAGCACCTGACCTACCCCTGAACTACATACTCCATCTCCAAGACCAGGCAGGTCGGGAAATAAAAATTCTGTAGCTCAAGGCAGCCCCCCACTACCCTTCCAGACCCCTTACCCTCCCACCCACCCCTGGGCCCCACCCCACCCACACACCCCTCCTCCCCTCCCCCCATCCACACCCCACATCTATCCAGCACTCCCCTCCACCCACACTCCATACCTATCTGGCACCCCCCGTTCCACATCTCCACCGGGCTGTAGTTGGAGGAATCCGTCCTCCAGCCGGCAGGGTAGATTCTGCTCAGGTGGTCCACATTGTGGCGGACGAAGCCATTGCCTAGAGAGCGGGATAGGGGGTGAGGGCAGGGTCAGCACGCAGGCCCAGATGGACGGACAGACACAGCAGATGGAGAGGAGACTCACCTGACTCCTGGAGCAAGCGCAGGGCGCGGTTCTCCGAGAAGGAGGCCATCTCATAAAACGCCTGCCCATTGGTCCCGGGGTTGGCAAAGCCCGAAAAATGGACACTCTTGCAGTAGATGACCATGTCAGAAAGTTCTGGAGCCAGCCTGACCTTGTCTTCCTGGAGACCATGGGGAAGCCAGGTGAGAGCGAGCAGGGGAGGGTATGGCGGGGGGGGGGGGGGGGG